TTTCCATTACCAAGTAACACAATGATACTGTTACTATCTTGAGCAATCAATGCAACATCTTGATTATTATCACTATTGAAATCATATGATATTAGCCATTTAGAAGATTCACCAATGATATAATCAATTCCGTTGGTAAAAGAGCCATTTCCGATACCAAATGCCACACTAGCAGTATAGTCAATATCATTTACTGTTGCTAAATCTATTTCGTTATCATTGTTGAAGTCAGCTGCTATAATGTGTAATCCATAATGACCAAGATAATATTCAATACCCGATTGAAAACTTGCATCACCGTTCCCAAGAAGTACAGTGATACTATAATAATCAGCATTCACTACTGCTAAATCTGTTTTATTGTCATTATTGAAATCAGCGGTTGTCAAACCAGTTAAGTAATAGCCAATTGACTCAAGGATGGATGTCGTAAAACTACCATCTCCATTGTTAACCAGGACAGTAAGAGTGCCATCATAATTATTGACTGCTACCAAATCCATTTTGTTGTTATTATCTAAATCAGTTAAAACCATATAAGCTGGATAGTAACCAGTAACATAATAATCTGTATTATTAAAACTCCCATTTCCAAAGCCAAATATCACGTCAATGTAAGCATCGTAGCTATACGACACTGCTAAATCCATTTTGCCATCCCCATTGAAATCGCCTGACACTATAGTCGATGGAAATTCATAAACTGAAACGATGGTAGTAGTTGGAAATAATCCATTGCCATTGTTAAAAAGTAAAGTAACAGTAGAGTCATCTTGATTTGTTACTGCTAAATCCAATTGATTATCATTATTAAAATCAGAAGATGTTATACAATTTGGACCTCCACCAACATCATAATCGACTGCAGTCAGAAATAGACCATTGCCCAAACTTAGTAAAACACTGATTGTATCGTCATCTGTGTTGGTGACTACCAGATCTATTTTCGTATCGTTATTCAAATCAACTACTATCATACTAGATGGTGTATCACCAGTAGCAGGTCGTGTAGTTCGAAAAATTTGCTCCTTATCACCACCTAATAGTAAAGTCACACTATTTTCTAGTGAGTTTGATATTGCAATATCGAGATATGTATCATTATCAAAGTAACCCAGTACAGTTGATGATGGATATCTTCCAGTATTGAAAGTATCGGATGATTGAAATGGATTCTCGCATACATATTCTAAAAACAAAATAATAATGAAACATAGATTGAACAATAAGTATGATAGAATTCTAATCTCTAAGACAACAACATCTGATTTTTCTATTATCTTAAAATAAATCTTCATACTTGTTGTTTTTGATTTTGTTCCTAAAATAACACCAATAATAACACCAGCAATAAACAGAGTAAGCAATAAACAAATTGGAATCATAAATCTTTTCTTTCGATAAAATGGACGTCTTATAAGTAACAAAAAAAGAAATAATTTCATCAAATAAAATAATTAGATGAAACTTACGGAATTTTTGGATAAATATGTGCACCTAAATATTAAAAAAAAGTATTATTAATATATATATATATATATATATAATAAATGATTGAAATACCTTCAAATGGTGGTTCAAGTGTCATCATTTCTGGTTCTACTTGTTTCAAATGAATAATATATAGATTAGCTGCTGGACTAAGTTGTGATTGAACTATCATATGAGTACCAGACATAAGAACAATTTCATCTTCAGTAACAAAATGTGAATGTGCTTTGATTGTTCGACCATTCATAGCTTCGACAGAAAAAAGTGTTCGATCACCTTCTTGACCCAAATACATATTATTTTCGAGTACAGTCATTTCAGTAGTACATGATGAAAATGCCCACCAAGTCATACCAGAACCAGGTGGAAATTCTGCACTTAAGTTTTTAGTTACTCCTCTCCAAACAGTTAATGGTGGAACACATGGTAATTTAACAAGAGCAGTTAAAAATAATTTGATATATCTGTGAAATGGTAGAAGTGCTTGACGATCATTATTTTTTAGATTAAAATTGAGTGTTGAATAGAGACTTCGATGAGGTTTATCCCATTCGATTGTATAAAGACGAATTGCAGCACTTTCATCAACTGATAATCCATCAGGTGGTTGTTCAGGCGTTTCCTCTAATGCTAACTGAACATAGAATGATAAATTATGAAAAATATCAGTTAATGGAGCACATGCTTGTGCAAGTGGTAGTAGAGGTTCTTCCGAATATCCTAGAATAGGACTTATTTCAGTTCCATCACTTTTGGTGATATCTTTAGTAATAGTTTCTGTAATTTGTTTTTCTGGTGGATTAGATCTATTTCTGTCAATAGTGGAATCTTCTTTTGGTATCATTGTTTGTCTTTGATCGAGTATTGCTTCTCGATTAAGATTTTCATCTGTTCTATCGAACTGATGTGTTGAACCATGCTTAATATTGACTTTTGGATTTCTTGAGTGTTGACGTTTGTTCTTTACGTTATCATCCAAGACAACATCTGTAAATGCTGCTTGTATGCCAACATTTTTAGTTCGTTTGTATCGTCGATAGTTTTCTGCTTCATCGTCGAGTTTGATGGCAGTTAATTCTGTTTGTATTCGAACATTTCTGTTAAATTTAGGTTGACGATAATTTATTTGTTCGTCATTGAATGGAATTAATGTTTCCATCACATTATGTATGGGAACATTTCTGTATGGTTTTGTTTGTTGTTGTGAATAGTTGTTCATATTGATATTCTATAAGAAAAGATTAACTATTTCTTATGATGAATATCTATAGATTTCATTTCAGATATTATTATTGTCTTTCAAGATAGAAATATGAAGACAAGAAAAATATATGTATGTGATTGAGTTGATCACTAATCAATGAAGAATTCTATATTATTATAGCTAAACAATCAATTTTTAATTAGTACAACTTATTCTCAGCTATTTTCTATTTATTATTTATATTATTCTAGAATATCTCTCTGGATATATATCTTAAGATTATAAAAGTGAACTTGAAGATTCACTATGACAGATCAATACAAAAAAAAACATTATTTTTATATTATTACTAGAAGAAAGCAACTACTTAAATAGATTATTACATGATATTTGTTATTTTTGTGTAATATTTACCGTTAAAGAGTATTCGATGATGACTGAAAATGAAAAATGAATAAATATACGTAGTAAGTAGTTATGTAACGACGTGAAAAAATAAGTTACGAAAAGAAAATCAAGTGTTTTTATTTCTTTCTTATAATATAGTAATCATTATGCATGAATGCTTTCTGTATAATATTAACAAAAATATGAATATGTGTTTTGATAAATGAATATAAAAGTAATTTTTCTATTCCTAGTCATAAACGTTTTTTACTTTTAATTATGATATAAAGGTAGATAAAGAGAGATGTATTTCAAAAACAATTATCTATACAGAGTATGTACACATGTGCGATTTTAGTTTATTGATTATGCATAATAAAATTTATCTCACTTCTTTCGTTCGTACGATTATGAAAAGACGTATTTTTCTCATTACACTTCAATTACATATACGATCTATATAAATACATATATTGAGTCATATGAAGATTTATTCATTATACCAAAATATAAAAAATGATAATGAGTCATGAAACATACGCAAATATGTTTCACAATACAGTAGACAAAGATAAACGATATGTAATTAAAATATTGATCATAATAGAAAGCTACAAGAGACAATAACAAATAATAATATTATTAAAGATAATTCAATTCGAATATCCAAACGTGCATTAGATAATGCATTTGAATATCATTATTAAACAGTTAAAATTAAATACTATCGTAAAATAAAAGATCGAAATTTATGCAAGCATTTATTAATCACATCAAAAATCATTTTATTTGTAATATCATCCTGATGTTTATATAATACCGATTAATAATGATGAGTTTTTGTTCATTTAGATCTGCGAATTATTATTACTTTCGTTTATATATATGCAAAAATGAGAAACTTTTGTGAAACCATAATGATAATAAGAAAGGTGTTCGTTGTCGCCAACTGTTGTCTGAACAATAAAATTCAGGAAAATTAAAACAAATATCTTTTGGTTTTTCAATTTTATCGACCATTTGCTTAATTAGCTTAGCTTGTATGGATCCAGATTTGATAAGATTTTTTAATTATGAGGTAGTTAATTGATTATGAATAACACAATACATATTGATAAAGTATTGGCGACCTATCATAGCCATCTCTATCCGAATTATATAAGTGTAATGCTCAATTTTTCTTATCAAACAATCGTGATGAACGGAATAAGGATAAATCTTGTAGTTGAAAATGCTCGGCTAATCCTTCAGGGAAAATCAGTATCGAACTAGATTGATTAGAAAAAATTGCTCTAAATTTTTTTTAGATCAGCTCGAGTTCTCCAAAAATCAAGAAAAAGAAGAAATTTTCTTCTGGTCCATGGACGGAGAGCCCTATTTGAAAAATACGGTGCTTTTCATTGCTACTTTCACCATATTTTGATGTTCGTACTACTACATTGCACTGTATAAGAATGAGTTATATTATACTTCTTTCTAATAGCAACTTCAGTTTTTGGTTCACTAGTTAAAGACAATGTTCTCAGAAAAATATATTTTTAGTGAAATTAACAATGATCAATATTTAAAATTATCCGTGAAGAATAATTCGAAATGATAGGCGTTATATTTTTAATTCAATCTCGAATGAAATTTTACATATCTTTTAAACTACAATTTTTTTTGGATAAACTAATTCGAGTGATCAATTTATTATATTTTTCTGATGAAATTTTGTTTTCTGTTTCAATCGTGTATAATTCTACAGCAGTATCGAGAAGAACTTTTTTTTTTCAACTCTTCATTTTATGTAAAACTCCTATAACATCAATTCTTTAATATTTTTGAGATTTTATTCCATCGTTGTCAATATATTCTCTAAACCTTGAAATATACATTGGATACTAAAAAAACTATAATTTGGATGTTGATTTATCCGATCGATAATATTTTCCAATTCTTCTAAAGTGAAATGACTTCTAATGTCCATCTGTTGATTTTTATTACAATCATAGCTATCACTTCCATGATTACCCTTTTCTTCGATTGTCATGTATATCAGTGAATTCGAGAGCTTTATGAGTATGACGAGCTATTATCGTATGAAATGAATCAAGAGTTAATATGTACATGTTCGATATATCTTTATTCAACAAAAATGAAAAAAAACGAAAGATATATACATATAATCACATTGAAGTAGTAACTGTAACAATAAGTATGAAGTTCACTGAAATAACTGACTTTGAAAGTTTTTAAAAGTTCAAATAATTGCTGTGAGGCAACTTTTGATGTTGTATGATCCATAGAAGGATAAGAAAGAAACGACTACAGAAAAAAAGTCAACTTATCACTTCATCGTATGAATGTGATGATCGATCAAATTCATTTGTTAATCATCGTAGAAGTTGCTAATAGAATCGTTTTTACTACTATGGCATTTTTAATAGCTCGTTGATCGAATGGATAAATGCCTGCTTTTGCAAAAGCTGTCGAGCAATTTCTAAGTATAAGAGCATAATTATAAAACTTGAAGAAGAAATACTCAGAGTCTCGTCTATTTATTGGTTGCAGTGTTGTTTTGTTTCGTTCCTATAATAATTCTTTGCATTGCTGTTTGATATATCTTAAAGTATAAATGTGAAAAGATTTCAAAAGATGAGTGCAGTGACTTGGTAAACATAATAGATGTATTTCATTCTAAATGGCCAAACGTATAGATATAATTTATAAAAGAAAATGATGACCACCAAATCAAAGAAGAAATGGACCCTAGATATATATCATTGACTGCAATTGTAAAAAGCAGTGTTGTGTAACTCTTACTATCATTAGCTTGAATTCTAATATTAAAGAAACATTAGATATAGTGGTAATAGACATAGATCGATAGATTAGATCTACTTACTGATTTGCATATTTCGTATTACGCTTGACTGCCATAATATGGTGATCCACATCTTCACGGAATTCTGATTCATCCATATTGCATATGTCTTGAGGTTTGTCAAAGAGATCTAGATTCTTCAAAACATCATACAACAGTTTAAATCACCCATCAATTATATTTGATGCTACACATCCACTAGTATGTGCATTTTCTAATGAATTATTCAACATAACTTTTAAATCATTATACCATCATTTTCGAAACGCATAATATCAATCTTTAGTTGGAAGATGATCGATAAAAAGTGACTTCAGGTCCATGATTTTAATATACTCATGAGTATATCTGAGAGCATCAGCACATCTAGATAGTTGACCCCATTCTTGAAGAGCTACAACAGGCTTTACCAAATTTTGTTTTCTTCGCGTGATAAAGCCGGTAGACGTCCAGCTTTTGGTTTTAGTGAATATAAAATATGTGATAATAAAGTAATATTAAAAAATGCATTTGCTTTCTTAAATGATCAATTTTTAACTCTAATGCATTGGACAGCATTTTCTGGAGAGTGTAGATGAGTCTGTATCCTCTCTGAGCTCACCCATTCCACTCATGAAGAATAATAAAAATGAAGTTATTGATTGGATGAGTAGTAAAAGTATATAGAGTGGAAACAATCTTTAAAAGGTACTCATAAAAGAATTTTTAATAAGAAAAGCATTTGAACTACATTTAAATCGATTTTATACAATAAAACAAAATGACTATGTAATTAGTCGAAAAGTTAAGCGTAAATAATTTAAAAGAGATTATAATATCTCTTGTTCTGTTCCATCTAAGATTTTTACGTAGACTATCACATCTTTACTCTTATTTTAAACGATCTGAATTCACTATTATGTATTGATTATAGTAAACATCAATATAAACTCAAGAGAAATCTGAGTGAATATTCATTGAATCTTTATATTTTTATTTATTTTCAAAAGCAAGAAAAGTTTTAGAAAAATGCTTAATTTTAAGCGTTTTTCATATTCATTTTGATTTTTTCTAATTAATTTACGAGAAAGATGCTCGTTCTACACCAATTCCACGAAATTCCCAATGCCATGGTTCGCTTTTAACCGTGCGTGTAAAGCCAAATTTGTGTGCATTCGTGTATAACCATTTATAGACGCCATTTGAATGCGTCGTACATGCGTCCGGTGCAGTAGCACCTTTTTGACTGCCACAGTTTGTTGAAATATCTAAAGCTAAACCTATGCCATGATTCGATGTGCCTGGAACAGCTGCTTTCGCTCCATTGTTACATTTACCTGTCTTGTAACAATTATAAAAGTACTGTTGTCGTGTGAAAACACGAAATCCTGAGTTAATCTTTAAAACTACATTCGATTTTTTAGCCATCGATGCCATTTTATCAAAAGCACAGGCCGTTTTTTGTGCCATTGTATTATCGGATGAATTTACGTTTAAAGTGTAATGACTTGGATTTGACAAATGTTCTCGTTTGATTTTTACCACTTGAAATTGTTTTTTGCTATTGCCTTCAAGAACACTTGTTGCTTCATTTACATAACTACCGCACAACTGATTATTTGAACTTCCAGCTGTTGATGTCGCTGCTGTGCTTGTCTTCTTGATGCAACATTGAACATTAGAATCACCTGGGCATTTGCCAGCATATGAAGTTCCATCTTTACAAGTCGATATGTCACGACAGATACCCTCAGCATTATTCACTTGACATGAACCATATGTTTCTTCTTCTTCAATGCAACACTGAATGTTAACAGAACCACTGCAATGACCTGGTACTGATTTGCCCGTGCAAGATGCAGTTGATAAACACACACCTGATACTCCATCAGCTTCGCATGATGAACCCGAAGCTGACAACAATACAACAAAATTATTACTTTCAGAAGTTTTTGAAACTTTTGAAAAACATACCTGTACTTTGTCGTCGTTTTCGGCGGCGTCCAAATATATCCTTATATTCTTGAAACTCTTCATCGTCGCCATTTTCTTGTTGTTGAAGTTCATCTAAATCTTGCTCAGATGGATCAGAAAAATCGTCTGTATCGAATTCTTCGTTTTCGAATTCACTTGGATCATAAGGAGCTAGTTCATCGAGACCTTCGATATCTTCTATATTTATGTCATCGATATCTCCTCCAATTTCGTCTGTACCATCGACTTCTTTGCCAGGAGTTGATATCGCTTCAGTGGATGCACTTGCTGTTGATTGAACCGAACTTGGTGAAGTTCCTTGAGACAAGGTTGTTGAAATCGATGATGAAAGCGAGGCAAGGGGAACAGAGGAAGATGCACGAGAAGTAGTACTTGGACGCGTAGGTGAGGTTACCAGTGGGCTTGAAGTTGGCGCAGTCGAAATCGTTGCCGCTATTGGTGTTGCTGAACCTGAACATACCCATCCTTCAGGACAATCTGGTCGACATTGAGAATAATAGACTGAACGTACTCGACACGCATATTAGATGCATGATGTAGGTCCACGCCATCCTTCACCTCCACATTGATCCCATGGTTGTGCACGTCCGACTGAATTTCCGGCATTTGTTGCACATTCCCAATCGGAACCCGGGCATGCGACTTGACACGATGAGAACCATTTTGACCGGCGAAAACATTGTGTAGGAGAGTCACACACAGTTGAACCACGCCATCCTTCACCGCCACATTGTTCGTAAAGACGAACGGTCGAAGCACCAGTTACCAGAAGAAGAAGTAGTATTAACATTACGATGAAAATAAATTACTAAGGTGAGTGAAAGAAAATGCTGAATTTATAGTCAAATAATGCACATAATTATTTTAAGCAAATATTCGATTTAAAGTATTACCTATCTGACAGTACTGAAATATGAGAAGCAAAAAGGATCAATATCGCATGATTTTATTCGTAAATGCTCTCCAAAGCCTGCAGTATGTTATCATTACATGCTTCATTTTTATTAATCATGTTTCTACAGATAGATTGTATTGAGAGTGCATGATAGTGTGGGTGTTGATTTGTTTTACAGGTTTATGATTTGAAGATGTCTTTCTAATAGCAAAATAAAGAAAAATATCTCATTCATCATCATATTCAGAGCAGAAGCAAGAAAATTTTGTATATAAGAGAAATAAACTATATAATATACGCAATCAAGTAAAACCTTAAGAAAATATCCTACAACGATTTATTCTCGATATGAACAACTAGTATTAACATTCAAGCTTGATTAACGGGTTGAGTGAATCTGTGATATACATTATCGTATTTGTAACAGAAGTTCGGCTACTACTAGACTGTCCAGTATATAACGTATATTATTGAATAAAAAATATTCGAATTAATCTAATTAGTCATTAATTTTTAAATAATTTTGTGCAAGTATAGAATTAAATAGAAGAATGAAAGAAAAAGTTATCAAACGAAAATATTTGTGATCAAATTACTACATTATTTTCATTATTCGCACTTAAGCCGTTTTCTAATCATCAATCATTAATGTTAGATCAAGTTACATATGAAAATAAAGAAAAACTTCAATTAATAAATATTATCATGCATCTCTCAGCATCTCTCAGCAGAGCTACGAAGCAAGTATTTGTACTTGATACTCGTTTCTGATATTTTCTATATTATCTTATTTGGTAACGAAAATACGTCTTAAAACCATAGGCAAAAATTACTGCAGACGTTTGAAATATATCAATAATTTGCTGGAGTGTCATATCACGCCACATAAAGAAAGAAGAAACTACAATCGTAGTAGATGCACAGAAAAAATTAGCTGAATGTTTCACTTTGATCACACCAATAGATTATGATATAACGATACGTAAACTATCAGTGCATTATAATAATTAGATATGCTGATCTTATTTTGAAAATATACATTGTATTTATCTTTCAAGTATAAGTACCAAGCACTCTTCTCACATTGAAGCATCAAAAATTAACTTCTTAGTGACAGGACATTGACGTATCACTCTTCATTGCCAATTTAATCCATGTAAAATATATTTCAACTGACTAATATCAATTATTGATATCGATATCATCGCTCGAAAGAGGTATCGAGTAAAGACTATCAATACAGATTCTGATCGTCGTTGCGTAATTCATTTCTAAAAACTACTTCACGAAAGTTCTCAGCAAAATTTTGATCATTTACAGATATTGATTAATACCACGCTAAATTAAAAAAATACTCAGATCACTGTATTTCATTAGCATGATACATAAGCTGTTACATAGGATACTGAAAAATATTCTATTTATTTGAAAAAATCATTTTAATCATGAAAAAATAAATATGAATATAATTACAATTGAGTTATTTACAGATATTTATTATTTGACACATATTTCAATGAGAATGTAAGATGTTTCTAATATCTACACTCATACCTTTTATTATAAGATACATTTTTTTTAAAGATTATGTTCAAGAAACAAAATATTTTTCACCATCTTTGTTGTAGTTCGTAGTCGCCGGTTTGCACTTCTGCTGGTATCGTTCCTCGTTTTCTTAGTATTTTATACACTACAAGGGCAATTCCAAGTATGGGTGTAAGTGCAAACAATATATAATGTACAATGAGCAAATGTTTAGCTGCTTGATAGAGTGTATTTTCACAGTATGTTGAAGTCTGAGTCTGATCAGTAGTTTGTATTACACTTGTATCAACTGTCCAGATCCACACGTTACCGAGTATAAACCATACTATGAAAAATATTCCAAACAGTATATGTATTACAATATTAATTAGCATTAATTCAAAGAAATATCTAAAATTTTCTAGGCATCTTGCTTGAAAATAGGCAAGAATTATTGTGAAGCAAGCAACGAATTTGACTATGCCATGAACTGTAAGAAATAATGGAATTTGCGGTCGGTACGGGCATTGACCCTTGTATTTTTGACCCAGAGCAAGTTCAATACTCGCCAAAATTAATCCAATAAGAAGAACTAATAAAATTTTTTTTGATCTAAAATGTTTGACAAGTAATGCTAAAAGAGCACGATGTTTTGATAGCTGTTTTGGTGGTGGTTGTACATAAGGAGGAGCCATCGGCCAGTTGTAAGCAGGTGGATAAGATGCATGTAAGTTTCTTCTGGCACTTAACATCTAGAAAAACATACTAGAGATAGAAAATTTCAGTTCTATGCATATCTATCGAGATCATTATTTTTTATAATAAACGAGGATCTGCGATTTACCCTTGTGAATAAAACAGTGTTGAATAGAAAAAGAATTAGTCTGTCAAAGCTGCATATAAATGGTCTAACAGTTTAAAGAAATTCGAACAGAATAACGTGAACGTTTCTCAAGAAAATCTATGCAACTGCCTCACGAATACTAAAAACAAAGTCATGTCTTCATTTAGCTAAAAAAGAAAGAAAAAAAATCTATCTTGTCTTAAAATTTCACCCTTAGCAATTCATATTAAGATGTCAAACGCGACAGAACTTTTAATATTTTGTATGAAGATGAAACACTACAAAGATATTTGTCACATCTATGGAGATGAAGGGAGGTGGTGGTACAATTTTTTACACTCAAACACTTTAACACAAGATATAATATGAAATAGATGTAATTTTAATTACTGTCATCATCATCATCATCATAGCGTATTTACGTATAATAGAGAAAGATAAAAAAAAGAATAAAATAAAATTGCACGCAATACTTTTCAGTTATTTTCTCTATCAAGATTTTGGCTGAAGATTGAAAAAATTGAAACAGACCTTGTGTCTCGCGAGTTTCATTTTATTGAATAAAACTATAGACAAGCGAAGAATTGTTTTCTATCTGAAACTATATTAATTGATGTATACACTTGTCAGTTGTTTTAGAGTATATAAAATTCACTATTATTAATGTCCGTCTTGCTATTAAATGCAATTTCTTTACCGTGTCATTGTATTGAGACAATGAAGACTACCATATTTAAAAATATAAACGTTTGAAACAGAATAAAAACTGACAAAATCTTATTTAGTTAAATTTTTTAATGAAAAAACTCAACAAAAATTCAACGCTATTACCTTTATATTGAACAGAAGAGTGCGTATCTTCTCTTAAATTACACTATTCACCACCATCATCATCATCCTCACGTTTCAATAAAAAGATAGACCAAAACATTTCGAATTAAAATATTCAAATGAAATGAACTTTCAAGTTTAATACTATCAGAAAAATGATGCTGAAAGAATCTTCGTTATAATATTACACTTACTTTATTCAATGATCAAAATGTCTATTTCACCGACTAATGAAGCATGATAAAATAATTTTTGCACGCACTACAGCTCACAAGGAAGAACAGAATAACTCAGTGAAAGAAAAAAGAAAAAAAAGGTGAAAAACATTTATTTGGAGCATGTTCATAGTGTTATTTGTGCTTCTTGATATATTCTAGGAGTATGAGAAAAAAAACAGTCCGCTTTTGGCGATGTTAGTCACACAGAAATGCAAAAAAAAATAATTTTTTTTCTGCTTGCACACGAGAGTATAAATAAAGCTCGTAGAACGAAAAATAAATTTTCTTGATATCCACATTATGTGAGTAACAGAACGATAAAAATGACGTAGGTAAATGAATAACGTGTAATTAAACACAACATTTCCATCCTTACGGAAACTAAAGCGTGACAATATGTGTTTTCACATCATTATTTTCTATTCAAATACGACAAGTATGAGACGCTATCATAACTAGTTGTGACATAGCTACAACGATAGATCTTATATGAAGAAATAAGGGATTGAAGGTATATTTATGAATGTCTCTTCTCGTTATTTACACACCCACATTCTCAAGATGGATTGAAATATTTCGTAATATTTGCTCTCAGCGTTAGATTAACATTGAGAATCTTCATGACTGCCATAACGTTTTATAGATTCAGCTGGTTCTCGATTCTTCTTTATTCAACAATGAAATTTAACAATATAAAAAATTTAAAAAAATCTTTTCTGTATTATACGATGATTGATATAAATTATGTTAAAAATAAGATTAATTTAGTTGATGAAGTTTTTAAAACGTCGTAGATTATTACATGAAGTACAATGTATGGATGTGACACTAATCTTTGTCACGTCTCTGCATGCATCACAAACCATTCGATTATCGTCATAACGATAAAAATTACCTTGTCTTCCATTAGAACACTGATGAATAATACTAACAATACCGGCTTGGCGATGACAGGTACGACATCTTTCTAATTCGCATTGCAATTCTTGTCCATCAATTGCTTGGTTAATTATTTCTTCGCGACAAATACGATCGACAATTGTCTTCAATCGTTTATCAGTTTCTTCAGAGATGATACGTGTCTGTTCTTCTTCATTTTGAACATTTTTGTAAATATGTTTTATCTTGACAAGTAATTCTTCTGAATCTGTATAAGAATTTAGCTTGGCTTGCGCAGCGTCTACAGATTGTTCGAAGTTTTCTGATGATAACAATGTTGAATTTAAACCATAAATCTTGTCCGCAGCTAAAGTCTTCATTTTCTTGATATATTCTCCAATTAGACGATGACGTTCATCTTGAAGTATATTACTAATTTCATCTGGTTCGAAGTTTGTCTCTTGTTTTTCAATCTTTTCTTTAGCATATTTCATAGCCGTATTTAAGAATTCCTTTTGAAATTCTGCTTCAGTTTTCTTAACAATTTCATCTTCGAATCGTTTCAATAGACATCGACCAATTAGCTCATCAGGATTAGGTTCTTTAACTTGATTAATAACATCAATTAAATCACTCATAAATAATGCTAGTTCAGCTGGACGAACCATCAATGCCGGAATAGAATTACTACCTGGTAATTGTTTACCTTGAGTATCCATGAATTTTTTTAGCATTTCTGTTAAGGATGCATGGTAATCTTTCGATGATTTACTATTCATTGTTGTTTTCATTGTTTTCAATGTCATAGTATTATCTTTCATTTCATGTGGTAAATACGTTAGATTAGCAACATTGATATTTGGTAGCGTTTGCCGAATAAAATCATATCGTTTTTGTAACTCTTTTTGTTGTGTTGTTCCTAAATTATTGCTTGACTCATCTACAGTAAATATTTTTTCGATCCATTGATCAGAACTGACAACCTGATCATTACACTTTAAAATGGGTAATTCCAACGGTACAAGCCAAGTAGATGGTAAGATACATGGAGATTGCATATGTTGAAACCGACATAATTCGTCGTATAAACGATCGCATTGTTCACGATCGATTCGAGCTGGTCGTAAAACCACAGCTAATACAGAACTTACAATCATGCAAAACAAGTATAGATTATTATTTGTTTTCACATCATTACCACCCATGCCTTCACAATCCAGAATTAAAATTGAGCCTCGTTTTTTGTTTGGATTTTTTAAAGGTCGAGCACACATCCAGACACCATGCGTGATACCTTTAGGATCATCACCACTTTTGAATGGTTGTAATTTTTGATCAGTAATGTTAGTTAATAAGCTAGCTGTAGTTAATGAAGCTAATTTGCTTTTGCCAGCACCTAAATTCCCCATGTAAACGAAGATTGATATCGGTGATGCAAATCATTCAGCTAGAATATTCTTGGCATTTAAATCCATTTCCAATTGTGGAATATATTCAGGATCATTACGTTGCTCATCTGTTGGTGCAATGCATTTAATAAGTGGAATAAAATCGAATGTGTCTTCATCATTCATGTTACAATTGTAGTTCGATCCAACGTACGATAATAATGATTTAACTGTAATAAAATAACAAAGGCATGATCTTGTCCTTTTATACCTTTCTTTTAGTGGGAAAAAGTTATAGGTAAATATTATTGTTTGCTTTTGTAATACAGAATAATAATTTTTTTTCTTTCGTTCTCTAGAAGTTTCTTTCCATGGTGGTACGGCGAATTATTGCACCACTCGATCACACTTGTTGCAAATTTTGTGGGTGTGGATGTGGATTTCGAATTTAATCTTCAAACGCGCTCTCGCATCCACCCTCAAGATTCGACGATGATATTGCAGACTAAAGAATAAAAGATCTTTGCACTTTCTTTTTTATGATTCACTTCAGAAATAACTAATGACATATTCTTTGGTACGTGTATAGAGATTTTGATTGCAACAATAACAATCTCATTACGAAGATACATCTTTCTATGGTTTGTAGGCATGCAAAAATGGCGAAAAAATTGGAAATATAAACTCAAATGTTTTAAGTCAAGTAAGGAGAGACGAGGAAAAAAGCTATAAAATTTTAATTTGTAACTTACATTATGTAAAAGTAAATTGTGTTTTGCTATATAAAAACTCAAAGAGACGGACTCTACTCCGTGACATGCCTTAGCGATCCAACAAATGTTATAACACGATAATCTGATGAGCTATAGTCTGATGTGCTTGGTAGAGTATCTTGTTTGGCTAAATAATTTGATTATGTTATACTAGAACTTTTTAGATCGATGTAAAATGGGGTTGCAAATGGTCTGGTTAAACATATTCGATCATTTTGAAGATTATCTTTTCATAAATCTCCGAAAACCGGACTCCAAACTATATTTTCGAAGTATACCATCAATTGTTGCAAGAGCAGTCTCATTTATTTTTTCTGCATCAGAAAAAAATACTTTTTTTCCTCTGTCATCATTTCTTACGTTGTTAACAGTAAACAAATACACATAGAACAGACGAGAAAGAAGAACGTCAATATGTTTATAAAGCCATACATAAAATGAAAGTAGACGACAAGACGTATTGTGTATGTTTGCATGTGAGCATCTAAGAGTGGTGTGCGTCGAAAAAAAGAAAAAAGAAACAAAACATTGTAGCCAGCTACCACCGTTACTTCTTTCGTCATCAAATGTGGTAGATGTTTAACGAAAAAGAAGTTACAAGTTTGTGGGGTGTGGGTGTAGGGTTCAGCTTTTATATACACCGCCCGTATGCCCACACACAAAGACACATCCTGACTCCCGCACCCACCCTAGTTCCAACCTAGGTTGATAACAACTATTGTAGTATAGTTCTTTTTGGGAGCGATCGAGAGCCATTTTCTTTTACAATCACGACATGATAGTAATCAATTGTCAGCCGCATTAGACATCTCTGATTCATATCGACTAATAGCTTCAATTGAAGGTGAATTGTTATTTGGCATACATCATCTCTGCACTAATATATGTGCACAAATAGTATTTATTGACATAAACAATCTTTATGAATTTTTACTGATTTAATTGATTATGAAAAAGTTATACCATATTTAACATCTAATAAATAATAATACTTCAATTATGTTAAAAGAGAGTGTCGATATGGATGTGAGTGTCTTTTTTTGTCCACTCACACCCATGCCATTAGTCAGACCGTATCCTTACCTACAATCACCCCCGTAAAAGCGCAATTTTTATAATATTAAAAGACTCTTTTTCCAACAGCAGATGTAAAAGCAGTAGCTCTTATCAGCTTACCTTCTTATCTTCAAACAATATTTGTTATACGTTAAAATTTGGAAGGTTTCAGCGAATATGGGTAAGGGTGTGGACGTGGGTGTGAATAGGTTTTGAGGATGGATGTTAGTGTGGTGGGTGTCGCTATGGGTATACATGAGTGTGGGTACCAATAGAATATCATTCACTGACCTAAAATCCTCACCCACACCCTGGATTTATAGGTTTTTTTTCAATATAATCTTTCATTTAAGCTAAAAAGACCCAAAGAAAATTTAGCTCCAAACGATCCCTTATAAAAGTGGTTGGTCTTCTGGTGGACCCACTCTTAATGCATCTCGCGCGTTAAAGTTAATGAAATATCTAACTAAAAAATGGTAAATTTATAATGATTAAAACAAAATTCATTCGATAAAACGTGTTAAAGTTACAAGAGTGTTTCACCAGATTTAACCAGTTTTAACCAGTTAATTATCGTTACAAGATCGCTAACGCTTGCCGGTTCGTGAAAAAGCTGCCTTATTTCTGCAACATGGAAGAAAATAACGAATGCGATTCAGGAAATTTGCGTGTAGCGTTCTTTCATTTTTACGTGGGTACTCGTCAAAGAAAAGACCATTCGAATGGGGTCGAAGTTGACGGTGTTGACGGCCGTAGTAATCATTTTCATTGTCATTACTATCATCATCACTATCGTCTCTACGGCGCTCTCGTTCCTCTTCAGGCGTTAGTTTTGTACGGAAAGTGTGCCATCGAATATTTTCTATTGAAGCCTTGTCAAGCCAGATAATAAAAAAATCGTCTTCACGATAAAAGAATAAGTCACACTTTCGTCGTAGGTTTTGTGACCATCTGCTCAGATGGTACCTTATTGAGTCGAGCTGCCAATTGGGATCTTGATCATGCATCATACAAGTCAATGAACGAAGTCGTGGTAAACAACAAGCTAAGTTTGAAACGCAGTCTAACGATTCTGTATTGAGCACAAAATGTTCGACATTCGGAAATAATTTTCGTATTTGATCGATGCATTCAGATTGGAATAGTTCTTTTTCGTCACGAAGATCGAGAGACTGAACAGCAGGAAAAACTTGGAATATATCTTTGCTCAGAACAGCCAATGCCTTTGGTGGTAATCGAACAGTTCGAAGATTAGTAAAGATCGATAATTCTGTTCCTTTACAAAAGTGTCGCCCTTCGAAATGCTTAATTTTTAAACAGTTTACATGGCCTTTGAACCAATCGACCATATGCTGATCCATATTCTGACAATCAACATGTTCAGCATAGTAAGAATAATCGTCTTTCCTCTCGTGAATTTGACTGGCCCACTCTCCCGTCAAAATCATCGGATTTTGCAGAAACGTATCGCTTCGTACAGCTCCTGTCCAGAATTGTAAGGCATAGATATTGAAACTGGCTCGACCCAAACGTTCAATCGTTTCGCTCTGCTCTCTGGCTTTCTTATGTTGGGCTAATTGCATGAGTATGAACGCAAAGTTTGTCTCCTTGACCCAAAATGAAGTTTTGAATGCACATGTGATTTTTACTACAGTTCCTGGATGTAGATGATAGCTCGTGGCATATAGACGTAGATGAATGAGGTTCCTCAGTGATGATATGATCAGATCTTCCCAATTTTGTGCATTGAACAGTCCATGAGGTGCAGTGACTTCCAGTTGAAGTAAAGCAGGCATTGCTTTGAGGTGATATGCTAGACGATCGAAATCGATCGGTTTTCCATCATCGACATGAACGATATAAGTCTTCATCATGGGCATAAGTGGGAACGGTTTGTTTCGATCGACGTCTCGCCAACCTCGAACACCATATTGTGCAGAAGTCAATCGAACATGGAGTTGTTTCAGGTTCGGCATCGATCGTAATAAAAGATTAAAGTCACCAAAATTAATTCCCGGGTTCACAAAAGTGAAATATTCGATGTTCGAAGGTTCTACTAGATTATTGAAGAAATCGTATGGAAATCCGACATTAGTGGCAAAAGCCAGTTTTTTCACCGTTGGGAGCTGAAAGAACTGTGCTAAGTTCAAACCATAGGAGCGGTATTGCTCTTCTGGCATGCCAACTATCTTCACTGCGAGTGTCTCGATGTGCGTTTCGGCAAGCGAATTCAAAGCTTTTTGTATCATTGTCGGATCGCAATTATTCAGATCCACATGAAAGTAAAGTCAACGAAGTTGTGTAAATGAGCTAAATTTAGGGTAGGCATGTAAGAAAGCATAGATCTGCCCGGGTGTTTTGTGTTCGGACAGTCCTAATTCTTCGATTTTACTTAAATAAGCGGGTAGTAGATTGAGACAAATAGCAAAATCATCTTTATGACATCGAATGAAATCAAACTGGAAACGTTGGCATTGAAGAATCAATCTATCGATTCGTCGATTTAGTTGGAAAGCGAATGCATTCACAATATCGAGACCATTGATGTGTTTCTCGAAGAGTTCCATAAGAATTTCGTTTGGAAGTGTTTCAAACTTGGATAACGACATCGTCAGTAACTAAATACAAAGAGTGATGCGATAACTGCAGCGTATTTTCTTTTCTCTGTAATCCACTTGAGTACGTCAGTGATGTTGCTATTTTATTGCAAGATCGTAAAATCTGAAATAGAATCACCATCTTGAGGGTGCGAGTGTAGTTAAGTATAGTTTTATTGTATTTGGGGCAAAGCATAGAAAACACAATCTATCTAATCAATGTACAATTGATTCTTTTTCTACCTTTGTTTTCTACTTCGGCTGGCATGTATTCGACAACTTTACGCGCTAAGAATTCCTCTAGAAATTTAACATATTTTCATCAAACTTTGAACATTCACTAAATGTGATTTTTGTTCATAGTTATCATTAGTTCATGTTAAAGCTCCATGTGCCGAGGAATGTCGAACAGATCCATAGGAAATAGAAAACTAAGGTGGGACAAGAAAACAACTGTACTATTCATTTAAGTCATTTAAAAAAAGTTTCAAATAGTTTGAGAACGTGATTGATAGAAGTTAGCAATCCAGTTGTCGATTTCCTTCATGTCATAGGTAAATGTTTCTTTATCGGGTTCTGCTTTCAACACTAATTTGTCATCATAAATGACAAAGAAGCGAAATGGCCATGATCCATAAGTAGTATGAAAGGTGTTATCCATGTTGTCAACGAGCATCAACATTTCGAAATTGAAGTTCTTTTTGAATTGTTGTGCATTATTAAGTCGGTCTGCTAGCGTTGTTGGTTGATCAATACATGAAATTGTCTTTCCTACAGGCCACTCATCCCGTGCATGTGCCTCAGCAATATAAATTGCTAAGAGGCGAATGCCGTTGGGCGCATGTGAGCGAACAAGCGCGCTACATATTAATTATGAACATAAAAGTGTGTCTAGTTTAATTTTAACAAATAAAGAACTTACTTCATTCGCTCGACATTTGCCCGAAATGGAGGTCAGCTAGTTGACCCGGCCAATATTATCAACGGTTGACCATATGACATTTGCGAAAATAAAGTAGTAAGATGACCATCTGTTGTATACAAATCAATATCACGAGCACATTGATCTTGATTAATTATACCTTGTGTAATTTTGTTGTATTTGACTGAAAAAAAATTAATTAATAAAAAATATTGTTAACTCAAAAGTTTGACGTTTGCTAAACATCTTCTGACATTGTCAAATCTTTTCGAACAATTTCTTACTATAGAAAGTGGCTTGAATAACATGTAGATGAAGTTAGCAGCGGATTCGAGTTTTTCTAAATATTATTCACCTGACAAGGTGTGCCACCTATCGTTTGTTGTGTGCCAGATAGAACTCGACGAGCTCTATCAAACGGTATCCTTAGACTTTGTACTAACCTCATGGAACGTTTCATATTTATCAAAAAGTCTTTTTTCTCCATGGGAACAATTTCGTAAAAACTGTATTTCCTAAAATTATTCGCTCTCTCGCACTAAAACTTACAAACAAACATATATTCCTATGCATCTCGACTTGCTCTATCGATTGATATGCTCCTTTCCACCTGTTAACTAACCATTCCAATACACTTGCATGAAAAACGTCAAAAATCACCATTTTAGCATATATTCATATATATATTCGTTCTACAACGTGTGCCACATTTGAAACCGATTTCATTTGACTCAGAATGAAAAACTCTATCGATTAATGTATAACTCAATATATTTGAATCCATAAAATGGACTTAAAAGCTCTTCAAAATCTCTCATGCATATTGTAGCGCCAGCTGCTTAAATTACAAGTCACAAACATGGATGTATTCGGTATAAACCTTGAAAATTCATCAAATCTCATATAATTCTATTATTTTAAACAAAATTCACTCTAAAATGAACTGTAGTTTGTTCATATTCGTAATCCTTTTTGAATCGTCGTCTCATATAAACTCAACAGTTGTGCTTATTATTAATAATTTGCATTAGATGTTCATGCTACAATTTATACTAAAGGTGATATAGACATCATTCAATAGAACTCGTTCAATTTCATCAAATAAGATATGGCTGAGTTCTATCTATCATATTTTTTAGCGATTATATGAGAAATACCCAGCAGGTATGCTTGTGTACTCGGAAGTTTACCTTTCAAATTCCTTTTTAACTATGTGCCAACACTGATATGCATATCATTTGATAGATCTCATTTTTCTCTATCGAATAATGTATAATTCAATGTCTTCGGTACTATATTTCTTATCGTATAACCTCGAAAACTGAATAGGTGTACTTATTATTGATTATTTACCTTTTTTATTCATACTCA